GAAATGAAGAGGTTAGTCGGCTTCAATCACGCAAATGAACCAATGCACGTAAAACAATTTAATACTAGTTCTTGTAACACTATTCTACGTTCGATTTATCCCTTGTATCGAATCGTTCTTCATTAAAAGTCGCAAATATTAGTATTGAAATGACAAAATAAAATTAAAACGACACACTTTGAAAACGACAACAATTGTCTACGGCACCACGCTGGGACTTTCATGTTTAATTTCCCTTCCGTTTCATCCAATTCATTAAAAGTAAACTATAATTTTCCCCAATATTTTATAAAATGTTTTTAAAACATGACAAATACAGTCCAGTATTGGCAATTACAGGACCGATTGTAGCTATTGCTTGTGGCTTTGTTGATTTTATGTTCCGAGGGCAAACGCACTGTTGCGTTTTAGTACCATTACGAGTAGAGAGAAAAGCACCGCTCCCGGCCGTCCGTGTGCTATATGTCGGAGTTCAATATCGCTGTAATTGGAACTGTGTTGTGTCAAAATGTCAGTAAATCAAAACACTACTACAAAAAAATAAAAGAATTGGTTCTGACAATTATGGAACAAAATATGATTCAGTGAAATAATGACAAGGATGTATATAGTTCTATACATGAATCGAACGATTAGCAGTTTCTTTTATCATGATATCTGATATATTGCAACTGTAAAAAACACATTTTATTTCATTGTGATTTGATATTATATAAAAGGATATCTTTATAAGATTATAAACACTAGTCTGAAATAAAATCTGTACTCTTACCGAAATGAATATCATTAGTAAGTAAATACATCAAATCCAATGTATTTGTTTCAAAACTTATCTCGAAGCAATTCGTGTTGTGGCGTGGCGTGTAGTTTAAAACACGCCATTGGAAACTTAAGCCGGAAAAAAAACAGGCGAAGTTTACCAACACATGATGTCTATAAACACTACGGACGCGCAAGTCAGAGTCGACGAGATTTGCCCGCCATATATAACACTCTGGCAAATATATTGGATATATAAATCTAACGTAAGACCCCGTACTATACTGGAAACTGTCGCTTAACATTTTGTCAAATTGACAATAAAGATTAAACTATCAAACCCATACACCTACTGTAAGCATGATCTACAATTCCCTCGCCCGGTAACAGTTCGTAATGCGCTAGCAAAAAGCAGTTCATGATGATGCTATATCCGACTGGGTTTTATTTGTTTAAAAATGGTGATGAACAATTTCTCTCAAGAGCGGTGAATGAAAAGTAGTTTAGAATACTGTCAGTTTTTATCAATTGAATAGCTATACTAAATTGGAATAAATCGAGCAAAAGTCGTTGGTGTAGCCACAAACAATCTTCACGTGTCGTGTGTGTTTCTCGTAGTAAATTTTCTACTGTACTTCCTGTTCGGGTCAAGCGCCCTGTGCTACAGACACTGTTATGGCGATGGAGATCGGTAAATGCTATATAACGGTATTACGGAATCTATAAACCACATAGATTGTCATCGGATTGGCAGTCACACACACACAAGTGTACGAGAAATCAATGGGAAATGGCTTCATGTAATTTCGTCCTCAGACGTGTTTACAAACATATTCATTTAATCAAATAGTTTTGAGGTAAGACAATACGCTCTTTCTTGGCATACCACCGAGTTCAAACCTGGAGACTGTATCGCGATCTTTTTTTTTTTGATCGATATACGAAGTTAGTGTACCAACCTCTTATCTCAGTGTCTTCAGAAATATATAGAAAACAAATTGTCTTAGACACTTTCGAACACAGACTGTCTGCTACCTTCGACTTTACAGAAAGCAACCAAAGGTCAACTATTGGGAGCAGAAACATCATCGTCACTTTGCACAGTGTTACCTGTTTCCCGACGTTTTTGTTTTTTTAGTAAGGAGCACTATCTCTTCATATACAACATGTCAAATTATTTTCAATTAAAATTGTAACCATTACAATCGTAACGTGAGCAGGTTTAATAAAAAATATGAAAAACATAAATGAAACAAAGTCCCTAGAAATTGTCTGAAAACCCAATGGACATCATACTTCCATTATATAATGGTATCCCGTTCCGACATGTATGTTAGATACCACAGTACTGCACGGTATGTATACAGGAGACTTGTCTATGTACGTACACTTGATGAAATCAAATCAAGTGGGAGAAGCGATATAGCTTCAATAACGTACTATCTTACAATCGATGGATGTGTGTAATTGTATGTCACTACGTATATCTGCCACAGTCCATTACACACAATCATATCTACATTGACGTCGAATTTCGGAGGAAAAAAATATGACTGCTATACGTTTTGTTAGTAACCAAAGAGGTACATAAAAAATTATCTGGATAGATTTATTTGACCGAATTTCGTAGATTTCTACACGATAGCTATCTAATACGCTTTCAAATTCATCCGTTTCTTACAAGATAAGAAAATTCCAGTTTTTCTCCGGTTGCCCTCCTACACATTTCTTAAATCAGGCTTTTCGATGTTCTTAACGCAAATGTTCTGCTGCATTCCTTAGGAAGTGTAACACCTGCTCTCATAGTTTATTCCAACGGGTGGGGATTCTTTCGGGACTACCTTTTCGCGACTAACCCACCCATACTGTTTTAGCCACCCACCTGGTTCCGGATGAAAGGCCTAGAGAGACATTACCGCCATAACGGTCGTTCGTTATGCCTCTGGAGTTATTTATGTGTGGTAACATCCTCTTGGCTTCGTACAAATACAGTCACCCATAGGGAAGATACCCTCAACGCTATGAGATATGGCCGCGAACGTTTGTTTATCGCACAGCCGTCGACGTAGGCATCGGGATCCCGCCGTGCTTGAAACGGGCTTTGGTTTTGTAAATATTGTGAAGCGTCTGCGGCACTCGGCTTTGTGGTAGATCTCGTGAGCATGAGTTATGGCGGGCGTAGGGATACAGGAACGTTTAGCAAATGTTAAGAGTAATGGGGCGTACGTTACACATTATGGAAACAAATTCTATTGATAACATCTGAGACTTGCTCTAGTCGTAAATAGAAATCTGGCGGGATGATTTAAGCAGGCATCTTTAAATTAAACACGTCAGCGGAATATATCTAGATCTGCGCACTATACACTTGAAAACAAAGGGTGATAGAAATTACCATGGACCACCATGGCGGGTCTTATATCGATATGTGTATTATAAACATTACTTTCGTCGTAGTCTTTATGTATTTAGGCTAGCATAACATAAGTAAAGTGTATGCAAGATTGTTTCTTGGTAAATCCTTTGATAAATGATAAGATATTAGGGCTACTGAATTACTATAAAATAAATTTGGTACAAAATTCACTGTAAAATTTTATATTTTTTTTTGTTTTGTTCTGCAGTTTTTGGCATTATAGAATTTTGACGGAAAATTCAAGGGGAAATGATAAAATAAATCAAAGGTAGTAATGAATAGAGAACCCCGATTTGTTTGGGTGGAAATCGAAGTAAAGAATGATATAAAGGACATTCTTTAGAAAATTTACGGTAAAGGTTTGCATGATGTACTTTAACAAAATACAGCGCATGCTTGCCTACATTATCTTTATTACGGGAGGCTACCAGATGTATACGGTACGCGTTCTGTCTTCATTGGTATAAAGCATATTTACTCGTAAATGTCGAATACATGCGGGGAATTCCGTAATCGGTATTGATAACGACTTTTTGTCATACAGTTGTTCTCAACACCATGCCTATAATGTGCATTTCTTTACACAACTAC